GGACAACTGCTTTGAGCTCAAGCCCAGGAGTTGAGACCAGCCTGGGAAACACGAGAACCCATCTATACAAAAAGGCTGCAGTGAGCTATGATTGCACCACTGCACCCTAACCTGGGCAACAAGCAAAACCTCGTCTCTTTAAAAAAATTAAAAAAATAATCAAAGAAAAATAAAATAAATAAATAAAAGAGTACCTTGACGGCCTATCAGAAAATAATAAGGTATCGAAGGTAAAGAAATTGTTTTGGGGGAAAGTCAGATCATGCAAAGAACTTCTCAATTTATGCTTTTAAAAAAGCCTGTTTGCCACATTCACATGAGACAAGACATCCTGCAGCCATCTTCTTTTGTAGTTTCAAAAAGAAAAGGCAACCTTAAAATCTGTACCCTCATAATATGCCAAAATAAAAAAAAAAGAAAAAAATAAAAAAAAAAAAAAGAAAAGGCAGAACCTTACAAACCTCTGAAATAAGTCTCTTCTAAAAATTGGGATCGTTAAGTTACATTGTTTCACTAAATACTAATTTTACTGCACCTTTCTTTGACCACTGGCCATTTGAGAAATCAAGGGTCCCGACCTACACAATTGTTCTCACCTAATTTGCTAAAGCAACAAGGCTCTGATAATAAAAACAGAATTTTAAATCAAGTTCCTCTCAATAGCATGTTTCTCAGTGAACTTCAATTCTAGCCCACCATGCTTTACAAGTACTGTGGCACAAGCAGCTCAGGTTTCTTATGTCCAAAGCTGGCACTTCACTCACAAGCACAGTAAGTACACAGCTGCCCCTTAAAACCCTGACTGCCCAGAACTCCCTGAAGAAAACCCTTTTATCTCCTCTTGATAAGGTTCCTCAATATTGGTGTAAAATATTCAACAATGCTTATTTCATGTGGCATTTCTTTAGGCAAGAAATTATTGATCACAGACCTGGAAAAATTTGTAACTGGCATAATACCACAACTTGACCCCACCCATACCACACCATTTTAGAAAGAAGTCAGTTTCAACCAGTGATTTTCTTTCTTTCTTTCTTTTTTTTTTTTTTGAGACAGAGTCTCACTCTGTTGCCCTGGCTAGAGTGCCATGGAGTCAGCCTAGCCCACAGCAACCTCCAACTTCTGGGTTCAAGTGATCCTTCTGCCTCAGCCTCCCGAGTACCTGGACTACAGCCACTATGCCCGGCTAATTTTTTCTATATATTTTTGGCTGGCCAATTAATTTGTTTCTATTTTTAGTAGACACAGGGTCTCTGCTCTTGCTCAGGCTGGTTTCGAACTAACTGCTGACCTTGAGCGATCCACCTGCCTTGGCCTTCCAGAGTGCTAGGATTACAAGTCAACCAGTGATTTTCAAACAGGGACCATAGTCTCTCCACCAGCCCCCCAGGACATTTCTGACAATCTCTGCAGATATTTTTGACTATTCCAACAACAGGAAGGGAGGAGATGGTCAGCTGATAGAGGTCAGGAATGTTGCTAAACACCCTACATTGCACAGGATAATCCCCAAGAAGAAAAAATGGTCAGGCCCAAAATGTCAACAGTGCTTAGATTGGGAAACCCTCTTTTAAACTACAGCTCTAGATTAGTTAGTCAACACTAGATCTCACCAAATACGAATTTAGATCTTAAAAGTAAAATCTAGAAAATCCTTATAGCCTCTTGGCCATTTCTACCTACAGCCAAAAAATGTGAGCAGATCACGACCTGCTAAAGTAGTTTCCACAAATGGGGACCTTAAGACACTGTGTGCAAGTTACTGAACCAGAACCAAGGTGTGGGCAGCTTTGGTAAGTTATACTTCCTTATTTTAAAAAAGAAAAAAATCACGAGTATAGCATAAAACTTCAGTCTACGATATTTGGTTATTTGGATTTGCTAACAAACTGCAGGACACTCTTTCATCCTAGCTGATAGAGACACCAGTGCCCCTTGAGGCAGCTTCCATCAGCATAAAAACCCACAAAAATCTTTTTACCTGCAAAACAGAGCAGCAGCATTTAAGTGATAACGTTAATGACTGGGTATGAGAAGGACAGACACCATCTAACAAAACCCATGTAACCAACTAGTAAAAGTTAAGGCCAGGTTGTTATTGTCAAGGAAGGAGAACCCCTCATTAAAAATTGCACTATGGCCGGGCGCTGTGGCTCACGCCTGTAATCCTAGCTCTCTGGGAGGCCGAGCCGGGCGGATTGCTCGAGGTCAGGAGTTCGAAACCAGCCTGAGCAAGAGCGAGACCCCGTCTCTACTACAAATAGAAAGAAATTAATTGGCAAAATAATATATATAGAAAAAATTAGCCGCGCATGGTGGCCCATGCCTGTAGTCCCAGCCACTTGGGAGGCTGAGGCAGAAGGATTGCTTGAGCCCAGGAGTTTGAGGTTGCTGTGAGCTAGGCTGACAGCCACGGCACTCATTCTAGCCTAGGCAACAAAGTGAGACTCTGTCTCAAAAAAAAAAAAAAAAAAAATTGCACTATGCTGGGAAGGATTACCACCTAGCCTTTTCAAGTGCTGGGAAAGGTAAGAACAGGTTTCAACCTCCTTGCAGGACTTTTCCCTTCCATGTGCTCAATTTACTTCAGTCCATTTACAGTCATAAAGCAGAGGAATCTAAAGAATCTTTAGAATCAAAGAAAAGTCCCAGGAGGCAGTCAGGTCTCCAACACCTACAAACAATGCTGTTGTGCTCAATTCGCCACAGGTTTTGTTAGACTAAAGGGAACATGACTCAACCCCAGAGAAAGACCCCCAAGACACACAGTAAATTTGTGAGTGGGTACCTAAATACAGTGCCCAACTATTTAATGACTTTTGGGAAAGAGGCGGCCTGTAGAACCCAGAAAGTAAAAGATGACTGGAGATAGAGGTAACTTATTTTTAGAACAAGGTTCTTTCTGCCTAATCCCCAATGATTTCTGCCTACCCACTAAAAATCCCAGACATATGAGAACTCTCATCCTGTCAACATGAGAGAGGGCAGTTTCTTAGGTACCACAAAGGTGGAACCTAATGGTGCCAGACTTCGTAAAACCCAAGTTTTCTACATTTGAAGTTCAAAATACAATTTTTCCCATTAGTAGAGGACTAGATAAGAACCAAACCAAACATGGAACTGTTTTCTGAGAAACTCCAACATCTTGGGCTAAAAGATGTTACAAAATGGAAGTGTCCTGCTACCAGACACAGCTCTCTTCAGTTTTGCAGAATTAGTCAAAATGAGTATTGTACTAGCATTCAAAATCTTAATCAATTATGCTTTCTACCTTGCTGCCAGGTCTTAACCCCATCCTCATGAGAATCGCAAACCAAAGTAAATAATCAGAACATTTAAACTTAAACATTTTAAGTAGAAATGAAAACGACTTCAGTTAACTAATAAAACTGTATTACAGCTAGAAGAGTTTGTCCAAGACTTGGCCTCCTCTTATTATTTCATACTTGACCCAAACTCTTTTGGTTAACTGTAAAACCAGAGATATGATCCACCACAGCACAGTATTAGTATCAGCAGAGAAGAAATAAAATGAAGCCACATGTTAGGGTAATATTTTACTTTTATCTCCTTATTTATGTAATTTAAAAAATCAAAAGGAAAACAATGCTACATAGTCCTCTTCACTACAGATAAGGACAAAGTTCTGGTAGCCTCTAAAACTAGGAGGCAGGAAATAGCCTTCATAACCTTCCTCCAATTTTCCTGGAGGGTCAGGATGGGGAAATCATTCTAAAAACCAGTTGCAATATACTGTACTAATAAACAAGGAGGTAGATTGAGGCAATCAAGTCCTTTTACGAAGCTGATTCTGGATCAAGAGAGCTAGAAAAAAGAATCCACCAGAAAACAAACTGCTATCAAAATTCCTACCCAGTATCTACACTTTAGGGAGAAACTACCTAAAGAATAATAGTCTCAAGTTCTCACCTTCAGTTTTAGTAAGAAACTTCAACTTTTAAAGAGATATCCCAACCAAGATCGCCCATGTATAAAACTCTATTTCAGCAACTAACAAAACAACGGATTTTCTTGTTGGAACAGTCTAGCCACTTTGGAACTTTCGTTTTAATAACTAGAAGATTCTATCATGGTGCTTTTCACTTTCAAAGAGGTATAAATTTTTAAGATGGTTCCAAGCTACTTAAATTTTAGGCAGCCCTGTACTTTCAGATTTTACATGTCGACATCCTGCACACAGGGTTGTGGCTTGCAACCTGTATCACAGCAAAACTAACAAGACTTTAAATTTAAAAGACCAATAAAAGAACGGAGACTTCTCACTGAATCTTTAATCGACTATGATAACCACAGTTTATTGCACTAATAATCTTTTAGACCTCAAGATATACGTGGCCTCAGGATAACTTACATAAATAGACAAGCTTTAAAAATAAATACCAAGATAGCCAAGTATTTGACCACCTACTAAAAATTACACAAATCCCACAAAGGAGCGTTTAGCATTTATGAAGTTCTAAGAAAAATGCTTCACATAGCTGACTTGGTGGAATTTCCCCAGTTGTTTGGGCCAAAAAGACCGTTTTCTCAAAGCGGGGGAGCAGGAAATTTTGGAGGCAAAAACCCAAACTCTGTCGATTATTGCATGTTAAGTGGATTTCACTTTCGCCTACCAGACACCACGATGCCAAAGTAAGTTTTAAAAAGGTTTAATATAACACATTCTGGTTTCCCCAGGGATTAGCCTGAGACTGGCCGAGCGTCCGCTCGGTACTGGGCACCGGGGTGAAGGCTTCTGAGTAAAATCTCGGTCCCTGGTTCCCTCCTTAGCAAAATAGGAGGGTGCGCAGGGGCTGCCTAAGGCAGCCTTCGGGAAGGATGTAATCCCTCAGGATGCTCGGGGTCTCGCGGGTGCTTCCCGCGTTGAGGAGCCCGCGAGCAGCCAGGGCCCTGCACAAGGGCAAGAGAAGAATGTAGGGGTCCAGGAGCTCGGCGGGGCCTCCAGTCCTGGAGCCTGAGGCGGGGAGGACGGAGCTCACCTTGTTGCGATCCTCCTCCTGCTGCTGCAGCAACTCGGGAACCGCGGCCATGGCGACGCGGGACTCGAGCAGGGGCCTCCTGGCTGTGCGAGGAAAGAAGAGGCTGCACCGCCGCCGCCAGGGCGCCTCTCAGGGGCGGCCACAGCCCCGCCTCCGCTGGCCTCCCTGCCCGACGGCGGCAGGAGGCCTCGGGACTCCGCCACCATCCCAGCAGCCCCGGGAGCTGGCGAGCAGGGCGCCACGTGCTCCCCCAGAGCGGCCTCCCCGTCCCCGCTGCCGTCCATCTTGGAGCCGGGCAAAGATGCAACGCGGGGCCTACCCTTGCTCCGCACCACGCGGAGGATGCAGATCGCAGGACCGCTACGGGGACGCGGAGCCACGACACTATCCTGATGAGGCGCTTCTCAAGAAAGACCGCACCTCAGCGCGGGATAATTTATTACTCAACCCGGGTCCAAGATGGCGACGAGCGGTGACGTAACAAGATCTCGTGAGAACAAAAGGGCGCGATTTGGAGGCGTCCGCGCTTCCGCCTCAGGGGAGGGACTCCCTACCCATCGCACATACCCGGAGGGGAACAAGCAAGGGCCTCCGGCCTGAGCGCCGCTGTGCATGCCGGGACGCCTAGTGTAACTCAAGCCCAAAGCGCGGGACGGATGAAAGTACGGGTCCCGAGAGGTGATTCATACGCTGGGAGTTAAGCGAAGCTTGGTGGTTTCTTGAGGTACCAACCCCTGCTGTAGTCTAGGCTTCTATTTAAGCCGTCTTTTCCCCAATCCATACTCCCGCTCTGTACAGGGGCCACGGCCGTCCTGTACGACCCAGGGCTCCACACCTACGGCGGAGCGGGAGGCAACTTTGTGGGGATCGCGAAGGTAGGTCCTGCTGACCGCCTCTTGCCAGCTTCATCTGTAAAACGGGGTTATAATAGTGCCTACATTAAAGAGTGTGAGGATCAATGAGAAATATCTATACAGAATATTTAGCAAAGAACCTGCTGTTTACCAATCGGTTGTTAACTGTGACTGCCATGGCAGCTATAGGACCCACTCCTTGGTTTTGTTCTGTGTCTCACGCACAGGCCTCCCTTCCTTGGCGTCACATTTCTTAAGATTAAAGATTGGGGACGTCTTGCTCCAAGCAGTCTACTAATTCGCATTTAGTAAGTGCTGGTGCTTCAGGTATTGATTAGAGTCTTTTTTGGGAAATAGCTATGTCCAAAAAGTTTATGAAATACAGTTTTGATGTGCGATATCATTCTGATAAGGCTTTCACTTTGATGGTTTTCTTTTTAATAGGATTACAAAAATAAAAAAGGCCCTCGACATTGCAAAAAGACTAGAAAGAAGTGAAAACAAATCTAAAGATGAAGGCATTTCAGACCATTTGCAGGCAGCTCAGACGTTCAAAGCGGTTTTCAGTGGAACCAGCTGCCCTTGTTCATTTCTCTACTTCCTGTTATTCATGTGGCCGAAACAAAAAAATGAACCCATATGAAGAAGTGGACCAAGAAAAATACTCTCATTTAGTACAGTCTGTCTTGTCATTCAGAGGCCTTGCCCGCACCCCAGAATCACTGTTCGATGAAGATGCTTTACTATATGGACCTGTGAGTAAGCAAAAACCCCAAAAACAAGAAGAGGAATCAAGAGTTCCACAAAATTGGTTTCCTATCTTCAATCCAGAGAGAAATGTTAAACTAGATACAAGCGATCTTTCCATTCCTTTGAAAATCCCTTTGCAAAGGAATGTGGTACCGAGCGTGACCCGAATCCTTCAGGAGACCATGACAAAACAACAGATTTTCTATTTGGAGAGGTGGAAACAGCGAATGATTCTGGAACTGGGAGAAAATGGCTTTAAAGAATATACTTCAAGTAATTCAATTCTACTTCTGTATAGTCACTATTTTCTAGACTATTGAGCACTGGTGTCAAAAGAATGAGGTATTTTTTAAAACTTACTAGTGAAGAATTACTGTCAAATAATGGTAATTAGCATTAAATAGCACTTTATGTGTATTAACTCACTTAACCCTCATGACAGTCCTATGAAGCACAGATAGTATTATCCCCATTTTACAGATGAAAGAAGCACAGAGATCAAATAATTTGACTAAATGATGCATAAAATTAATTTGTTTTATAAGCTACGAACCTAATATTAGAATTGCTTGTTTTCCTTGATTATGGGAAAAAGTCACCTGAAAACAGAATTCTGTTCCAAATTTAGTAAATAAATACTCATTGCTCTACTTATGAGTGTAAACTGATAAATTTAAAGACCCTGGCAACGGAACACATCATCTGTATTTTGATCTTGGTAAATTGAGATAATCAAATGCTCTTGATAAGGATCTGAGAATAAATTTTAGCCTTCAACTTCTAATTTACTAACTTAGACAAGTGAGGAGAACAGATTCTATGGAAAAAAAAAGACCATTGATACAGGTGAATTAGCTGGTCCCATAAGGCTTATATAGGTTGTCTTTAGTTAAAGCTAAGTTTTACATCTATCATTCCTTAGCCCATGCTTCCCAGAGAGCAGTACATGTACCCCTAGTGGTACATAAAGCATTTTTAAGATTAGTGTACTTATTTTCAAGCACCATAAAAAAATTGCATTTGTGTATGTAAGAATGTAACATATTAAACATGTCAAATGTTTTTTTAAAAAATAGTATATATAGGTGGTACTGGATTTGGCAAAAAATGGTCAAGATTAGGACTTAGCTCCTTATAATGTTCCTCAGCTGTATGGGCCAAGGACAACATGCAAGGGCTAACTGCTTTCTTAGGATAGTTAATTAGTAACGACCACCAAACTATAGTTCCTTTCTTTTTTTTTTTTTTTTTTTTTGAGACAAAGGGTCTCACCCTTGCCCAGGCTAGAGTACCCTGTCATTGGCCTAGCTCACAGCAACCTCAAACATGGACTCAAGCAATCCTTCTGCCTCAGCCTCCCAAATAGCTGGGACTACAGGCAGGAGCCACCATGCCTAGGTAATTTTTTCTATTTTTGTTGCCCAGCTAAGTTTTTTTTTTTTTTTTCTGTTTTTAGTAGAGCCAGGGTCTCTTGCTCAGGCTGGTCTTGAACCCCTTAGCTTAAGTAATCCTCCTGCCTCAGCCACCAGAGTGCTAGGAGTATAGGCTTGAGCCACCATGCCCAGCAGTTTATTCTCTACTTTCTAAGCAAGCAGCATAAAAATCTTTTAATGACATCGTAGCTTTTATTTCTACCACTAGAATTTAGAATTGATAATTTTCTCATAAATTGTTTTGATTTTCCTTATATCCGGAATGTCACAGGTGAAATTACTGAAAAGAAATGTAAAGGCAGGCCAGGTGTGGTGGCTCACGCCTGTAATCCTAGCTCTCTGGGAGGCCGAGGAGGGTGGGGATCCTTTGAGCTCAGGACTTCGAAACCAATCTGAGCAAGAGCGAAACCCTGTCTCTACTATAAATAGAAAGAAATTAATTGGCACATGCCTGTAGTCCCAGCTACTCGGGAGGCTGAGGCAGAAGGATCACTTGAGCCCTGGAGTTTGAGGTTGCTATGAGCCAGGCTGACGCCACGGCACTCACTCTAGCCTGGGCAACAAAGTGAGACTCTGTCTCAAAAAAAAAAAAAAAAAAAAAATGTAAAGGCAGAAGCCTGCTGGGACTTGTGGGACCATAGGGTCTGTAGCTTTCAGCACAAAGTAAGGAAGTATGCCCCTATGCCTGGGGCCCTCTAGATAGATAGAGGAATTTCTGTTTGGAATGTGAATGAGCCCTAACAGCCCAGGCCTTGAAAAAACTATGGTTGTTTTTTCATAGAGTCAGCTTTGTTGATCTAAATTAGGGCTGTGCTGTGTCTCTCAGTTAACTCAGTTAACCTTAAGAAATGAGCAGAATTGCTTTAAAAAAGTAAATAAATAAAGAGAAAAATCACATACAGATTAGAGTCATGGCCAAAAAAAGAGAAAAAACATATAACTGACTAAATAGGTCTGGGGAGGTAGGCTGAAAAATATTGGATCAATAAATTCCTTTCTTCCTGGTCTTGTCAAAGCCCAGAAGATGTGCCCAGAGCTGGCATTCTTGCAAACACTGAGCAATTTCCTAAGCAGCAGTTCACCTTTTGAAAATTGGCAAGAATGAGAAAGTCTGATTTACTCTGATCTATATTTGTGTTGATCATAGTGGATATGGCTGTGTTTGTTTTTTAATTTTTTTGCTATACTGATTTGTTTTTGGAGACAAGGTCTACCTCTGTCACCTGGGTTAGAGTCCAGTAGCTTTATTATAGCTCACTGCAAACTTTTATTTTTAACTAAAATAAAATATACTCTATGGGAAAAATGTATGTTTATTTTCTAATGACATTTCTGATGTAAAGTTTGCAGTGAGAAATGAATTGTCTGTGTGCATGTCACTGTTGATAAAGCAAGTTTTTTTTTGCTTCCTGTTTTTAACATGTTTGTCTTCTGCTTCTTGAAGCGACTTTATAGATGAATATTGCACTTTTCCCTAGGGTTTAATTCTATCAGTCTTAAATTTCTTGTAGATATTTTATGTGTTAATGATTCCAACTGAACCAAGTAAATCTGGAATAGAATAACTTAGTTCCTAAGTTGAATTTCATTTAACTCTTCAAGTAATTTCCCAGAAGAGATTCAGTTTTTTGCCAGTGATATAACTGACTTTTCAAAATCTTTGTAAAAAATACTTGACATAGGTAACATAGTTTAATGTTACCTCATTAAATGCATTGTTTTCCTCCTTTTCTGGATCTGTCTCCAAGCATGTGTATTTCCTCCCCTGATTCTGTGTGTATCTAAATGGTAGTCTCTGAGTTTGCATCTTTAATCTGATGGACTCGAAAGAACACATTCTGGTGCCAGGCTGCCTGTCCAGCGTTTTGCTTTTAGGCCAGTTAACAGCACTGCATAGGCCCACAGGGCCTCAATCATTAAAATAGGGGTAATGACCCTTATCTTGCTAGGTTGATGTGTTTGAAAATTAAATAATGTTTTGAAAGCACAGAGGTCACTGGTTAGCCCTCGTAACAATGTGCCCTGTTCCTTTCCTTCCCTTACCAAGAAACAAGTGAATATATAGTATTTTTTGCATTTGTTGAATCTGTGTTCCCTTTTCTTAAAAATATATAAAGGAAAGAAATTCAGGACATAGCAACCATCTCAGGCTGTTCTAACACTTAAAAAAAAAAAGAGCAAAATAAATAAATAAATAAATAAAAATAAAATAAAGTGCATAAGAATATCATATTTTTCTCTCCCTCCAAATCGCACGATATCTAATTCATTGTTTTTAATTTGTATGTGCCTTGACTTTCATTCCTTGCTTGTCACTAATCCTATTAGTAAATGGATTCTCCCACCTATGTTCATAATTAAGTTGTGGTTAAAAAAGAACCATAAACGGAAGCACAGTTCCCTACATTTCTATTGATTTTTTTTTATCACAACCAGTTAACTTATTAAATTGAATAAATACATAGCACCATAAACTAGGTATGGTCTTACAGCTCCTAGTTCTATAACATCTAGTTGTAGCTTTGGCCTAATTCTACTAGAAATACTTCATTTTAATGCATCTTATTGTCTAAACTACTCTAATACCTTTAGTTTTCAAAGTGCATGCTTATTTCCTGTACTTGAGGTTGAAGATATTTTTACAAAAAAAAAAAAAAGTACATCCTTAGGTTTCACACAAGGCTAAAATTTGGTTTCTTAGGGTTGTCACTTAATAACTTGTGTAATTTGGCCAGGTGCGATGGCTCACGCCTGTAATCCTAGCACTCTGGGAGGCAGAGGTGGGTGGATTGCTCAAGGTCAGGAGTTTGAAACCAGCCTGAGCAAGAGCGAGACTCTGTCTCTACTATAAATAGAAAGAAATTAATTGGCACATGTCTGTAGTCCCAGCTACTCAGGAGGCTGAGGCAGGAGGATCACTTGAGCCCAGGAGTTTGAGGTTGCTGTGAGCTAGGCTGATGCCTGAGCACTCACTCTAGCCTGGGCAACAAAGCAAGACTCTGTCTCAGAATAAAATAAAATAACTTGTGTAATTTAAACTTTTTTATTATCATTTTATATGCTATATAATTTTTATAATTATATTATTTTATATTTATATATTATTAATTTTACTGATTTGATTTTATAATTCAGAGGTTTTTTTTTTGTTTTTTTTGAGACAGAGTCTCGCTCTGTTGTCTGGGCTAGAGTGAGTGCCGTGGTGCCGTGGCGTCAGCCTAGCTCACAGCAACCTCAAACTCCTGGGCTCAAGCATCCTTCTGCTCAGCCTCCCGAGTAGCTGGGACTACAGGCATGTGCACCATGCCTGGCTAATTTTTTATGTATATATCAGTTGGCCAATTAATTTCTTTCTATTTATAGTAGAGACAGGGTCTCGCTCTTGCTCAGGCTGGTTTTGAACTCCTGACCTTGAGCAATCCGCCCGTCTCAGAGAGCTAGGATTACAGGCGTGAGCCACTGCGCCCGGCCCAGAGGTTTTTTGATATCTGTTTTTCAGTACTAGCTGTGGTTGTTTCCTGCCTCTTTTCCCCTCTTTTCTTTTCAGACATCTTTTTACAAGGGAAACGGTTCCATGAAGCCTTGGAAAGCATACTTTCAGCCCAGAGAGACTTAAAAGAGACAGATGAAAATCTCAAATCTGGTTATGTCGAAAGCATCCAGCATATTCTGAAAGATGTCAGTGGAGTTCGAGCTCTTGAAAGTGCCGTTCAACATGAAACCTTAAAGTATATAGGTCTGCTGGACTGTGTGGCTGAATATCAGTAAGTATGAGATTGTTTCCATCACAGTGTGGAGGTGAATTAGTGCAGGTCGGGACAGATGCCTGTCAAAATGTACGTTTTCCTCTTAACTCCTGCTTTAAGGAATGCCTGTAGATACTGCTGCCCCTATGTCTTTCCAGTCAAAACCTAAGTGACAGGTAAAACAATTGGGTACGGGGCAGGAGGTGAGGACAGATACAGGGGGAAGAGCCACACAATCCTTGTCAACCAATATTCCAAAATTAAACTGTTTGGTGGAGAAAAGGTATACTTTTCAATATCCCTAGCATGGCCTGTTTTCCAGCCTGGTGTGCTTCCTCCCTTCCTCCCAAGCAAGATACCAGGCATATGATCCATAATTTCTGCTCTTTCTTTCCTGTTTTCCTAAAGATTATATCATGAACTGTTGGTTTTGAAAATCACGTCTTTTCCTGGCTTCCAGGCAATGGTTGACATGGATAGGAACTCTGAACTCACTAACGCTTCCTGCAGTTTTGTTTTTTTTTTTTTTCTTTTCTTTTTTCATTTCAGTTTGACCATCCTGGGATTTGCAGGTTTTTAAATTGCTGCTGTGTTACTGTTTTTCCCAGTACTCCAGATTCCAAAGGTAGCTGTAACCCGGAGGTATCCCTATGACAAATAAAGCAAGGGAGCAACAAGAACAGGACAGGGAGAAAAATCTGTGTGTATAAATCCTGGAGCTGTAGTTAAAGAAAACTGACAGAATATTTATTAGTCTGGAAACTATGTTAGAACCACCTATCAGTTTTATGCCATAATAGCTTCCTATCTGAGAAGAGCCCTGTGTGCCAAGAAATGTAATAGGCTGTTTTGGGCTGCCCTTTAGATTACCAAGGGAGCCATACAATCACTTCTACCCAAGGCCTACAAGAAGCTCCTGACACCATATGCTTTTCATAGGGATTATATATCCATAGCACTGCTGTTTATTTGTTTTCTTGTTCTTTAAATCAGAGCATCAACATTGACAATATGAACATTTTTGAAACTTAACATTTTAGAAATTTAAAAGGAATTTAATGGATAATTATGCACTTTGCTAATTCAAGCAATTAAAAGTGAATCCCCCACACCCCTCTGCTTTTAACTTCTGTTTAGAAGGTTTTTGTGTTCCTGAGATATTTTATAACTGTATGTATAATCATTTGTCCCCTACCTATACTTCTTAACACAGATGCTATACCCTGCTTTTTTCCACTTAGAGTATTTTAGACATCTTTCCTTATTAGTTTATATAGATCTGCGACATTCTTTTCTGGTTTAATAATTTTCCATTACCCAGAATTATTAGTTAGTAGCACTGTCATATTTGCTTCTTTTTTTAAAAAAAATTTATACAACATTACAAATTAAGCTCAAGTTCCTTGAGTCACCTCCTCCCTTCTCTCCCAATCCCCTGGCCAAAGGCATTCACTGTTGTAAATTTGGTGCCATGTCCTTTTAGTCTATTTATTACCCTCTTTAACACACACCACACTATGTATAATACACATACTGCACACAGCACTTATGTATTGTTACTCTCAGAACTGTGAGAGTCACATTATATAGAAATTTCTAGGCACACAGTATCACAAAGCTGTTAAGATACTGAGCTCAGGAGCCAGACTGCCTAGGATAAGATTCTGGCTTTTCATCTAAGCTTAGGCTAGTTACTTAGTCTCTGTGTACCTCAGTTTATTCATCTATAAGATAAGACAAATGATAGTACTTATCTCATATGGTGGTTGTGAGATATTCCCTGAACAGTACTTAAAATGCATATTATCACTGGGTGTGGGGGCTCATGCCTGTAATCCTAGCATTCTGAGAGGCTGAGGCGGGTGGATTGCTCAAGGTCAGGAGTTCAAAACCAGCCTGAGCCAAGAGCGAGACCCCTGATGCTACTAAAAATAGAAAGAAATTAATTGGTCAACTAAAAATATATAGAAAAAATTAGCCAGGCATGGTGGTGCATGCCTGTAGTCCCTGCTACTCGGGGGACTGAGGCAGAAGGAATGCTTGAGCCCAGGAGTTTGAGGTTGCTGTGAGCTAGGCTGATGCCACGGCACTCTAGCCCGGGCAATAGAGTGAGACTGTCTCAACAAAAAAAGCATATTATCTATTCAATAGATGTTAGCACTAATGTTTGCCCCCACTTCTCTCCTCTTGACTGGTGTTTGGTGTTGTTTTGAGCCATATCCATTTCCCTATTGGGAACATTTAGGTTATTTCTATCAAAATGTTTCACAATTACAAACAATGCTGCAGTGAATGTGCTTCCTTGTATACTACAGAGCTTCTCTGGGCAGATGCATTTGTTTTTTGATTTTGATGGATGATAAATGTAGTTGGAATAAATTCAACTGGTTTGAAGTAGACCTGGACATGAATACTTCTTAAATCTCCCAGGCATTTCTCACTTACACCCAGGATATCAAGCCATTGTTCTCCCAGTACTTACCTAAAAGGGAAATTGCTGGGTCAAGGGTATGTGCATTTTAAATTATAAAAGATGTAAGTGTGCTGATTTGTGAACACTTTTAACAACACGATGTTGGTAATTTTGATAGCATTGTATTTTTAATCTGCATAAGCAAGGAGGCTGAGCATCTTTTCATTTGCCTAAGAGCAATTTGTAAACTGTCTATTGCAATTTTGAGTTTATGCTACTAAGAATTTAAAATTTTTTTTGATTGACAAATAATAATTGTATATATTTATGGGATATAATATTTTGATATTTGTGCACATGTGGAAGGATTAAATCAAGCTAATTAACATTCCTGATACCTCACCTACTTACCACTTTTTGGTGGTGAGAGCTTTTAAAACCTACTCGCTGTAACTTCTAGGCTCCAGTTATCCTGCCACCTCAACCTCCTGAGTAGTTGGGACTATAGGTGTGCACCACCATGCCCAACTAATTTTTAAAATATTTTTTTAGAGATGGGGTCTCGTTATGTTGCCCAGACTGGTCTTGAACTCCTGAACTCAAGTGATTCTTCCACCTTGGACTCCCAAAGTGCTGGAATTATAGGCGTGAGCGACCATGCCTGGCCTCTTTTAGTAGTTTAAAAATATACAGTCCAGCCTGGGCGCGGTGGCTCATGCCTGTAATCCTAGCACTCTGGGAGGCTGAGGTGGGTAGATTGTTTGAGCTCAAGAGTTTGAGACCAGCCTAAGGAAGAATGAGACCCCGTCTCTACTAAAAAAATTGAAAGAAATTAGCTGGACAACCAAAAAATAATAATAATACACACACACACATATATATTAGCCGGACATAGTGGCGCATGTCTGTAGTCCCAGCTACTCGGGAGGCTGAGGCAGTAGGATTACTGGAGCCCAGGAATTTGAGGTTGCTGTCAGCTAGGGTGACTCCATGGCACTCTAGCCCGGGCAACAGAGTGAAACTCTGTCTCAAAAAAAATATATGTGTGTATATATGTGTGTGTATATATATATATATATAATCCATTATTATTAACTGTGGTCACTATGCTGTGCAACAGATCACTAAAACTTATTCCACCTGCCTAACTGAATATTTGTACCCTTTGACCATCATCTCCCCTTTCTCCTCCCCTGCCCGCCAAGCCTCTAGTAACTACCGTTCTACTCTCTCTTCTACTGAGTTCAGCTTCTTTATTTTTTATTTTTATTTTTTTTTGAGGCTGGGTCTCACTTTGTTCCCCAGGCTAGAGTGTGTGCCATGGCATCAGCCTGGCTCACAGCAACCTCAAACTCCTGGGCTCAAGCAATCCTACTGCCTCAGCCTCCCAAGTAGCTGGGACTATAGGCATGCGCCACCATGCCTGGCTAATTTTTTCTATATATATTAGTTGGCCAATTAATTTCTTTCTGTTTATAGTAGAGACAGGGTCTCCCTCTTGCTCAGGCTGGTTTCGAACTCCTGACCTCGAGCAATCGGCCCGCCTCGGCCTCCCAGAGTGCTAGGATTACAGGTGTGATCCACCGTGCCCGGCCTTCTTCTTTAGATTCTACATGTAAGTGAGATCATGAAGTTCTTGTCTTTCTGTGCTTGCCTTATTTCACTTAGCATAATATCCTCCACGTTCACTGGTGTTGTCAAAAATGACAGAATTCTCTTGTTTTTAAAAGCTGGATAGTGTTTCATTCTGTAGATATACCACATTTTCTTTATCCACTGATGAATATGAAAGTGCAGATGTCTCTTCAACATACTGTTTTCAATTTCTTTGTCTAGATACCCAGAAGTGGGTTGCTGGATCAAACAGTAGTTCTATTTTTAGTTTTTTTGAGCAACCTTTCCAAAATGGCTATACTAATTTACAATGTATGTACTATGTGTGTTTTACTTAACTATTATTACAAAAGACTAAAAAAGTTAAAAAGATTAAAAACTTTATAAAGTAAAAAAAGTTATAGTAAGCAAAGATTAATTTATTAAAGAAAGAAAAATAGGCCGAGGCGGGTGGGGAGGCTGAGGCAGGAGGATTGCTTGGAGCCCAGGAGGATTGAGGTTGCTTGTGGAGCTTAGGTTCATGCCACGGCACTCCCTACTTGGGGCAACAAAGGTTGAGGACTCTGTGCTCAAAAAAAAAAAGAGAAAAAAAAAAATGTTTTTTAATTTTAGGTGTAGGGGCCTACGTGTCAGTGTTTATAAAGCTCTACAGTAGTGTACAGTAATCCCGTAGGCCTCTCACGTCACCATTCACTCTCTGATCGACTAGAGCAATTCTCCAGTCCTTGCAGGTTTCATTCAATGTAAGTGCCCGCTATACTGGATATTAGCTTGTTTTTATGTCTTTCTTTTTTTTGTGAGACAGAGTCTCGCCTTTGTTGCCCAGGGCTGGGAGTGCTGTGGCGGTCAGCCTCAGTTCACAGGCAACTCAAACTCCTGGGGCTCAGCTGATCCTGCTGGGCCTCGGCCTCCAAGTTAGCTGGACTGACAGGCATGCGGCCAACCATGCCCGGCCTTAATTTTTTCATATATGTATTAGATTGCCACCTTA